AGAAAGAGTTTGATGAGAAATTCGCAAAGTTTCTGGAAATCTTCAAGAAAATCCACATCAACATTTCCTTTGTAGAAGCTTTGGCCCAAATGCCTAACTATGTCAAGTTCTTAAAGGAAGTGATGTCAAAGAAGAGAAAGTTGGAGGAGTTTGAGGCTATTAAGCTGACAGATGAGTGTAGTGCCATACTTCAGAAGAAACTTCCTCATAAATTAAAAGATCGGGGCAGCTTCAACATCCCGTGAAATATTGGTGGTATCACGTTTGATAGGGCACTGTGTGACCTTGGAGCTAGCATAAACTTGATGCCCCCATCAGTGTTCAAAAAGCTGGGTCTTGGAGAAGTGAAACCCACAATCCTTACCTTGCAACTGGCGGACAGATCGATCACATATCCCAATGGCATTATTGAAGATGTGTTGGTGAAGGTTGATAAGTTCATCTTTCCGGTGGACTTTCTGGTATTGGACATGGAGGAAGATGAAAAAGTACCGTTGATTCTTGGTCGATCTTTCCTGGCTACTGGAAGAGCACTGATTGATGTGCAAGAAGGGAAGTTGACACTACAGGTTAATGAAGAGCAAGTAACTTTCAACATCTATCAAGAAAAGAAAGCCTCAAAAAAAGGAAAAGTTGACGCTTGCAAAATGATCCAATCAACTGAAGTAATTGCAGGAAACGGAGAAAAATGGAAATTATTTTATGATCCATTAGTGCAATACATGACAATAAGTTACTTAGTAAGAGATGCATGTATTGATGGTAATGACTTAAGAACCAAGATGTGGTGGATTTCATCTTAGCCCAAGAAGTTGACCCACCTAACAAAAAAGAGAGCTATGTGGATAGGCCTTTGAAAACTCCAAACAATGCCAAACCAAAAGCGGTCTTAAAGGCCATACCAGGGTCAAAACCGCATAATGTTGTTCACCATTTTATAATGAAGGAGAATACAAAGTTGAGGGTAAAGTTTGAAGACAAGAGAAATGTGCCACCTAAGGATCCGTTGTAGGTGTTGCGGTTGAGTCAAACTAGTGACCATAAAGAAGCACTTCTTGGGAGGCAACCCAAGAGTTCTTACCTTTTTATCTATTTTATTTTATTTCTTTTAAATTATAGGATAGTTTATTTTATTTCAAAGTTTTTATTTAGGAATTCATCAACCCTACCCCGTCCCCCTTAGGTCTTTGAATAATCAAGTTGGTTATTGATGTTCGAGCTAAATAGCACTTGTTCTATGAGTTTAATATCTACATTTTGAAGTTTTAGGAACATGACGTCGCAGAATAATCAAACTAACATTAAGAAGGAGAAGCTGGATAATTAACAAGTTTGGGGAGGAAAAAAGAGAAGACACATCCATCAATTTCAACATCAGAGCACCAAACCATCGTTGGCAATTCAGACAATTCAGGGAAGTCTTCCTCCTTTTCTTTTAATTTCACATTGGGGATAATGTTCAGTTTAAGTTTGGAGGGAGTGTATGATAAGTTGTCTAATTACCTAATTTTTTATTTTGTGTGATATGTGTGCATTTTTTTTTAATTGTGTGCTTTGTTAAAAAAAAAACAAAAACTTCCTGTTCTGCATGCTTGTGTGAGTTAAATAGCCTTGCCGGCAATGACGTTTATTATTAAGAACATGCATTGGTTTATGAATTGTGGACAAGTTATGTGTGTGAGTCAAATTTTTACTTATTCATGTGAAACGAAAATTATTTTGCACATGAGTTGATTGTAGCGTTGTGCGTGAATAGATGGATTCATGTTTATAGGTTGGACTAGAGGACTTTAAATCCAAACGATCATTAAACATCAATATACCCTTAAACCAAATCTAGGATGTTTGGAGGATTGCACTATTGTGGAGAAACTTAGAGATAAATGTGGATTCCGTGTGTACCAATTTTTGCGTGGACTGTCTGAAACTAATATGATAAAAATTGGGTGAAAACCTTAAGTTAGATGTCGATTTTCTAGAATGTGTGTTTAATAAGGGGCATTGCACTAAGCATTACAAAAATTTTTTAAAAATAAATAAATAAATAAATATATATATATATATATATATATATAAAATAAAGATCCTAATGATAACAGCTTTAATAATCTCATTGTGAATCATCTCTTCGTAGCCTTTATGACTCGAGTGATTAAGCCTATAAGAGTTTAAAACCTGATGTCCTAAAGTCATCTGATTTGGGAGTCATAGGCGTAAAGCTCGCTACAAGGATCATATAGAAAGCTTAAGGGAAGGACGTCAGTACAAAGGGTAATAATAATAATAATAATAATAATAATAATAATAATGATAATAATAATAATAATAATAATAATGCCTTGCTTAAGCCCCGAACACTCATTTTAGAGGATTCGACCTTTTGACAAGAGGTTAGTAACTTCGTTAACTCTTAGAGGTTGAAGCAGTTAAAAGTAAGGAAAATCCTCATTTGTTGACATGTGGAACTGCAATTAGTAAAATTTAACCAAACTTAAGCGGTGTAAGAGATTAGTATTGAAGATTAACTTTAGATTACACCATGGAAAAGAGAAAAGAAAATAAGTTTGGGGGTATGTGAATCCCACGAGCAAAGTAAGAAAATAGTTGACTTTTAAGGTGGGGAATTGGATCAATTTATTTTTGTACAGCGTTGCACTTCTCTCTACACACACACACCCATTGTACATTGAATATATAAGAATTTTAGTTTGTACATTATAACTTTGAAGTAATTCATAGAGTCGATGTTATGGGTTCAATCCTGAGCTATAAAGACAAGATATCTAACGAATTTTTTTTTAAGTAATTTTGTGTGTTTTAGTGTGTTTTGTGAATGTTAATAATTTATTTGATCCGGCTTTTGTTTGAGGACAAACAATTGTTCCAATTTGGGGTATTTGATAAGTGTATTTTATGAACTTATTTCATTCATTAAATTAGAGCAATTTTTGTTATTTAGGATGAATTGATGCTTAACTTCATACAAATTTCCTTTGTTAGGTGTAACGAGGCAAAACAATGAAATTGGACAAAAGAGCGGGAAATTTGCTAACTTGGGCCTAATCAAAAGTTTGGGGAATAAATCGCAAAGTATCAAAAGTTGATTCGGACATGATGTTAATGATTGAAGAAGAGCCATAGGTAATTAAATGGTATCAGAAGATGAATGATCGAGAAGATGTCAAGTATGGACCAAAAGGAACGAAGAATGAAGTATAGGGACCAAAGTGCAACACATGGAAAAATTTCATAATGGCGCGCGCGCGAGAGGGGTTGAATTTCATAAGAAGAACATAGAATCAATAGGCGGTGTGCGCAAGGAAATATAAGCATTTTTGGAAAAAAAATCAGGCAGATTCCTTTTTTGACACAAACTCTTATGAAAATAAAATTTATAATACTACTTAATCTAGAAAGACGAAGAGAACGATGCTTCTTCTTCTAGAGGGGAAAAAGAGGATTGCTAGGAGAAAATCTCAAGAGACAAAGATCAACAAAAGCAATTGCAAGAAGATTGACGACGATTAGGGGAAGAATTCACGCATCAAAACTAGTTTTTCTTATTCCCTACTTATTCCCTACTTATTCTCCATGTTCTTTATTGTGTAGTTTATCATGTTAATCAATTCTATTATGAACTAAACTTTAATCCTAGGGATTTGATGTAGCCTACTTAGATATGTTTTAATTCCTATATAATTATTTCAATTAATCTTTTTGATTATTTATTTATGTTGTTCTTGCGCAATGCTTTCAATTAAGTAGCCACTAATTAATTGATTTGATATTTTAAATTTTGACATTCAAGAGAGGTAAATTTAGGCGTGATCTAAGAATAACATAATCTAGTTTTCGTAGATTTCAAGAGAAAGTGCAAATTTTTTAGGCTAATTCCACTTAAAGCACTAGGTGCTTTGATAATTTCTATATGTTAGTTTGGAATAGAGATATTGGAATTAAAATATAGAAATAGATTCTATTTGGTACTCGAAAGAGGGAAATGAAATCAATTTAGTATTCTTGTCAATAAATTTTGGAAAGATTGATAGAAATAATTATAACGGTTGAAAAACATTGTTGATAGTACGGTGAAATCACCCCCTAGGCATTCAAAATTTGATAAGAAACTTTACAAATTGCTCTTGTTCACTTTGCATCGTTCATCCCATTTATTTTAATTTAGCAATAAAATATCGTTTCAAAAATTGATTGTCTAAATAAAGTGAAAGTTAAAATAATCATAGCACTCGATAGGATTCAAATATCAATTCCTGCGGGTTCGACACTCTTATTCTAATACTATATTATAAAACTTGACACCGTACACTTGCAATATAAAATCACATTGCATAAATCTCGTGGCAACAACCAATTCACTTGAAGTTAGGCCCAATTCATATGAGTGACCTAATGTCTTGCTATATATGTTTTGCTCCTAGCCGTGTCTTCTTTGGCGTGTAGATTACAATAGAGCAAAGGTGAGAAAGAGGGAGCCCAGTGAGAAGGGGCGGCAATGTGGGGGTTGTGTGAATTCAACCATTACTTCATTCTTTCTTCTAAATTGTAATCACCGCCCTCTTTGTGTCCTTTGTGGATTAGATAAGGGTAACCGAAGTGGGTAGAAAGAGGAAATTGAAAGTGCAATGTTTTGGGTTGAGCCAGGGCCTCTGGCGGTGTTCGTTTGATTGGTTTTTTTGAGCCCGGAATTAAAGATTTCTCGATGATTTCCGCATCAACTAAGGTGCAATTAACTGCATTATTTTCAGCCCACTGATTTTCCATATAGAGCCTAATTTTTAGTGTATTTGTGTAAGCTGCCGTACCAACAATTCCAAAGAATGAAAAAACAATTCAATGACAAAAAATAGATACTACAAATTAAACACTAAAAATATGAACGATCCCAAGATAAATAGAAAAGCATAAACAAAAAGCTTATTATCAAATACGTATACATCTATATTTCTTTTGATTAAATTAATAAAAACAATACAGAAAATACATAAAATTTCTGGATCAATTTTCTATAGTAGAGTCCATTAATCCAAACGCTGTTTCTTGAAAGGAATATGACTTTCTACTTTCTTTTGATCAATAAGAACCTGGATTCTCTCGCCAGAGTAAAGCGTAAAATCTGAATAAGTCTCCGGTAACGCAGCCAGCAGGTTTAAGTTGAAGTCGACTGTACTGGTGTACCCATTGCAGTTGCATTGGCTGGAGGCGCCGCCCTTGGATGTGATCGCAACGGTTTTCTTGCCGCCCTTTATGACGCCTTCATAGTGCCTCCGCATGTGGCCACCCAAAGCTTGGCCAGTTGTAAAAGTCATGTAACAGACGTTGCATTTGTGAATCCTCCCGCTTGGGTTGCGATAAGTGATCATATTAGAGGTGCTGGTGATTGCAGTAGTGGTGGCGAATTGAGACCGATCACGGTGGCTGGTTTTGTGGCCGCCGAGTGCTTGGTACGATGAAAAAGACTTTCCACACACGCCACAAGTGTACGATATATTCTGGTCCAGCGGAGAAGCGACAATAGCAGGAGAAAAGGGTTCCCTTGATTTCTTCTCATCGTCAGCAGAGGCTAAAGCGGCAGTTCTTTCACTAGTGGTAGTGACTGCGGTGGCGGCGGGATTTACTTCTTCTACGATTTCAACGGTGGCGGCACTGGTGGACGGACCAGTGTGCCAACTCCTATTCTCCTGAGATAGCATCAAGAGAGCAAGTGCTGCTTCTTCAACCTCCGTAGGTTGGCGGTTTCTTTCCTTGATGAATTGAGAACACAGAGAGTCAAATTCGTTGGCTTGAAGCCCAGCCATGGATGAATTTAGGGCTTCACACTGTGTGTGTTTGTTCTGTGTGGAAAAAAAAAAATGTGTGGGATTCGGATTAGAAAGACTGCGAGAGTGAGAGAAAGCGAGAGAATGAATTACAGTGAAGGAATCAATGTTTAGGATTTATTTAGGGAGTCAGGTGTGGGATGTTGAAGTAGAGTAGTAGAGTAGGGGATGTTGAAGTAGAGTAGTAGAGTAAGGGATGTTGAAGTAGAGTAGTAGACAAAGGAATTCGTTAATGGAGTAAAGTATGTTTTTGCAGGATAAGGGAGTTTTTAGGGGTTTTAGTAAATCCTAGGTGGATTAGACTCCTACCAAAGTCAAATTATGTTCCTTACTTATATGCGGACACGTGTCAGTTAATGATAATATATCTCGACCAAACTACTACAAAAATTCCTTTTTCTAGGAGCTAACCATATCTTTTCTTCGCACTAAAATCCTATAGACTTAAAACTCCTTGTACAGATGAAATATATACAAATTTTTATCAATTATGCTACACAAATATGTTCAAAGATAGGTTAAAAAAAGAGGAACACATGTCGACATAGAATTGGAAAATTTGAAAAAATAAAATAAAAACAACTTTTTTTGTCATAATTGCTACTAGGAACACGTCCATTTGATCTTAATAGCATCAATGTAGGGACAAAACCTATCTTAAGAAGATTTGCATTTCCATACTTCGTTTCATGTCATTTCCTTCTAATTTTTACATTTCAACAAGTCAAAATTTATGTACATATCATTATTTTGATAAATCGTTCCTCTATGCATATTTGCATGCATGTATTTTTATTAGCGAAATATAAATTATACATCAATTTATTCAACAAGTGCATGTGGACTCAAACTAACTATATCCCAAAATAATAAATAATATATATATATATATATATATATAATTTTCCCTTGTATTTTATTAAGTTCAAAGAGATCATAGGGTTTTAGAGTGTTGGAATAATGAAGAAAACAACCAAGAATTTAGGCAAATGTGCAGAGAGAGAGAGAGAGTTGCTTAAGGGATTCTATTTGATTACGTTCTTTAATTTTAATTTTATAGCCATTATACAATCACTATTTTATGGATAATTTTTATATTTAATAGAAAAATTACAAAAACTTCAATTTCAAGATTTACTAATGGTGCGTTTGATTACGAGTATGAAATTTATATAAAAAAAAAATATATTCTGAACAATTAAATTGTTTAGAACTTATTTGTATGAAAATTATTAATTAAATGTGTTCAATTAATTTAATTTTTAATTTAAAAAATATTATATTTATGTATTTTTTATTGATAAGTAGATAAAAGAGCAAAAAGTAATTATACTTGAAAAATAAAAACTATCGAGCCTTGCTTTTTGGATAGACCCCTGTCCAAACAGGGGGCATGTGGGGCCACTCTATTGTCAGGGTCACATGCCCCCTGTTTGAACAGGGCCTGTCCACGAAGAATAATTCAAAACTATCTTTTTCTAAAGAAAATATTTTCTTTATTTTTGAAAAAAACTTGGTTAGATAACCAAAAGTTAGAAAATATTTTTCATTAAAGAAATTGTCAATCAAATACACTGAAAGTAAAAAATTTGAGTGAAAAAAATGATATTTTTCATAAAAAATAAAGTCAATCAAATACACTCTAAGGGGGGTGTGATTTAAAAAGTTTGGGTGTATTCAATTGAAACTTTTAGAGTGTATTTAATTACATTTATTTTCCATGGAAAATATCAATTTTCCACCCAAATTCTTACTTAGAGTGTTTGATTGCTATTTTTTTCCATGGAAAACATTTTCCAACTTTTGAAAATATGCCTAATTTTCCTTGTTTTTAAGGAAAATATTTTCCTTGGGTAGAGGTGGTTTTTATTTTCCACAAAAGATGGAAAATATTTTCTTTTCTAGGTAATATTTTCAATGTCAATCAAACACACTCTTAGAGACTCTCTAAAAATTTGGGTGTATTCAATAGAGACTTTTATAGATTTTTAAAAAGTCTCCAGAAGTTACAGGGTATTCAATTGAAACTTTTTAGAAGTTTCTACAAGTTTTGGGGTATTCAATTTAGAGGGACTTTCAGGGAATTTAAAATTTTTTGGACTTTCAGAGACTTTTTAATAGAAAATATAAATAGGATTTTTCTCCTAAAATCTCTCATCCATAGAGAGATTTCTAAAAAGAATATGCTATTCTTATTTCTCTTTAGGTTTTTCCTGTCTTTTCCAATTAGGTATTTCTTTGAATCTTTGCTATGAGTTTTCTTCAAATCAAGTTATGATAAATTTTCATTAATTGATCTCTATCTCTCCCTCTAATTTCAAAGATTCATTTTTAAGTGAATGTTGTGAATTCTCATAAATATTCCTCGATATCTCACATTTAACACTGTGAAAAGCATATTTCCTTAAAAAAAAAAAAAAAAAATCCTCAAAAGTCTTTAGTAAAAGTCTCCACAAATCCAGGAAAAACTTTTACTAATTCCTACCAGATCCATAAAAATTACTTAAAATTTCACAAAGTCCACAAAAGTCACCCACTTAAAAAAGTCTCCAAAAGTTATTAAAAATCTCAATTGAATACACCCCCCTAAATAAAACTTGAATTTTGTAGGATTTCTTCATTTGCTCACTACATTTATATTTAATGGAAGAGATATTGTTGTAAGGTTCATATTTTATAGTCACTAACACCACCAAACCACCTCGAAGCCACATCGAGCAGCCATAATTTGAGGAGTGAATTGTATATTCTAGAAAAATGGAGGACTAAATTGATGTTGACAGGTAGTTCCAGGACTAAACTGATCCATCAATTGATTGAATGCATTTTGCGTGGAATTGTAGGCCAAACTAGCATAGATAACAAAAAACAAAGAAAACTTTGCAATGCAGGGAAGAGAAAACAGAGCTATCTTTATTCTCAAATGCAGAAATGGTCTGCGTCCAACATAAAATATCTACACACACTTTTTCTTCCAGTTTGAATGGTCATTCAGGAAGAATCACATCATAATAAAAAATAAGCATCAATTGAAGAGAGTTTTCTGAAAAGAAATTGGCCTATGATGTCATAAATATAATTGCCAGCGTCCAAAGAGAGTGCCATCCAATATGGTTCAGGAGCACTAGCAAATTTTACACCTTTCAAAATTAGGTACAACTCGTTTTACCATCAAATTTTCAAGACTGGACAACAAAGCAGGCTGTAGTATTCGAAAACTTGACCGTGTAATTCATGGCAAACACAAGTTGCCATGGGACAAGGATCAAAAGGGTATCACATCAAATCGGCTCCACGAAAACTGACAACAAAAGTAGCTCAATATCAATTATGCAGCGCCCTATCAGCAACACAGAATAAACAAAGTACAATAAGAAACTTTTATCAGCAATTTTACTAACTTTGAAATTGATTTATAATTTTCCTCTTCATAGCAGCCTGCTGAGTGATTTAATAAGCAATTTCAGATTTCTCCTTGTAGCTTCATCACCAGTAAATCCTAATATATCTGAACTTATACTCTGCAAAATGTTGAGTGACATCACAAGGAAACAATACCAGCAACTATTAGAATAAAGAGAGAAAGGTCGAATGAGTGAAGGTGTAGAATCAGAATTGAAGCATTCGAAGACAACTCACCTCGATGTTCTTCAAAGTGAAAATGAGGGTATATATAGACTTCTGAATTAATTCTGTGTTCTCAGGAGTCATAATGGACGAATGCACCCTTCTGTAGAGTTTTACATAGAAAACCACATGAGCCAATTGCCATAAAACAGATGATGGTAAAGACCACATAGCCATACCATAGAGATAGTAGAAAGAAATGTGTGAAATCAATCCAAAGTACATTAGTTCTGCCTGATCAAATTTAAAAGTCAAATTTTGGTCACCCACATCTTAAAAATATGTTAACTATGTTAAAAACTAAAAAGAACCAAACAAATTATCCATAATTTTACCAGCAAACTTCAAGCTGACTAAGGCATGTGCCAACAAAACATCAATGACAACCTTTTAGTCACTGAGCCATGCTAGACACATTCATACAGTAAGTTTGGTTTATTTACAGACATAATTAAAGTTTATTATAGAACAGAAGAATTGAAGCGTCATGAAGATGCGTTAAAAATCAGAAGTATTTATTACTGCATTTTGAGCATGCTACAACTTCTACATGATTTCGGAAACTAAACTGAAGTGGTCCAAGATTCTACGTATGTTTGACCACAAAAATTCGTATGAGTGCAAATATGAAGCCAGAGAATGGGAGGAGACAAAGCACCCAAAACCTTGATGTAGTCTGCAGAAACCAAATTTGACTACTGGAGTACTACTTTACCTCAAATCCTCAGAAGCCTCTGTAAGGCTTTTAGTTAAATTTTCAACTTCCTTCAGCAAACCACTACCATGAACTTCTGCCAGCAAAGGTTGAACATCATCAGCCATGGCTTTGATCTGAGACATCACTACATCAAAGACAGAATTTTGCTTGAGAATATATTATATTCAATGGCAGCAATGTAAATTAGGGTTAACACCAAAAACGAAGCAAGAAGAACATGTATGCAAAATGACCATACTATGCATGGTTATTTTCCTTTTGTTGCACTCTAATTTGCAACCAGACTCTGCAGAAAAGCATGATACAAAGCACTAAGGACAATCCAGTAAAACTTAATAGTCATTAATCGAACACCTGACCAGCCTTGCAGCAAAATCAGAGCAGTTGCAGTTAAGGGATAGGGACAAGACCTGAGATGATATAACATGTAATTAGTAAACGAAGACATGTCAGAGTTCCAAATACACCTCCTACCTGAATTGCTTCTCTCTGACCTATAATATACCTCTCAAATGATAATATTATGACTTAAAATAGGTGAACCTGATCTCTGTAAGTGTCTTAAATATCAGTGCCTAGGGAAAATGCCTTATATTTACAAATTAAGTGAGATAGCTCACTGAGACTAATTTAACCGAGTAAAACAATTCCAAGCTTTCATAGATAAATGGGTTCACTCACTGAGAACAATTAAGTATTGCGTCATTCTCTGTATTAGATGACTAGGCTGGGCAGGTAGCACATTCCACAGGCACAGTCCGCGAAAACTTGTGGGTTTCGCCAAGCCCAACTATGAAATACTCTGTACAGACATTTCAATCAGGATAGCGTGTTCGTGTCCAACACGTGTCGATACCGACACTCCTCAGACACTCTTATCATAAACATTTTACATTCTTTATTAAACATATTATATATTTTTAACTCAAAATTATTAGTAAATAACAAATAGGTACTCATATTTAAAAGATTTCAAAAAAAAAATAAATAAATAAATAATAACAAGTATAAAACTAAAATTATACTATATAAATGAAGATTTTTAAAGAATTTAACATGCTGGCAATGTGTCATGTTAATACTTTTTTGAAAAATCTCCATGATTTAATTTCTTGCTATTCTCTATAATTCTCACATAGGAACAATTCTTTTACCACTATAATATTTTTGCAAATTTTTAATGAATGCTACTTATTACTAATGAATGTTAGGGTTAACAAGCTTATATCTTGAATTGCTAGTTTTGCGTTGGCTTTAGTAATGGATTGTAGTATTAAAGTATCAAGTATAATGTTCAATTAACTATCAAAAAATAACTATTGAAATGAAATTAGATATTAAACATGAATATGCAATCTTGATGGAATGTATATGAGTGATGATATTCATCATTAGTAGGGATCATCGCAGATCTAGGTTGCAGTTATCCCCCTAATCACTGAAAATGGTAATTCTAAAATTGAGATTTATCTAAAGTATTTCCAATGGAAAAGTTTCTCTGTAGTCTATATAATTGCTAGTAAAAGAAAGTAGAAATCTAGTTTTAAGTTCTCTGTCCATCACTAATTTTATACACCTATTTAGTCATATATACATTCTGAAACAGATTATACTAGTATTATTAATAAAAAAGAACTAGAGGATTTAAAATTTTAAATTTGGAAAATCACATGAAAGAGCACATCCAGTACTTTCTACCATAGTTATTAGACCCGACCCAGTGGTCGACCCGGAAAAATCACCGGGTCACTGGGTCAACGGTTCAACCGGTGAATCGGTGATTGAACCGGTGGGTCATTGTTAAATCATAATTTTAACTAAAATATATTTTGAAACAAATTAAAAAAACATTTTGCTAAATCTATACATATATTTTAGCTCACGTTAGTGAACATAGCTCCATTAGTTTCCCAAGTGGTCAAAGGCCTAAAATGTCATTGTGGAAGCCAGGGTTCGAATCTTGCTTGCTGCAAATTCAAATACTTATTTTCCCATGTAAATGAATTATATATATTTGCCACAGTTTCTAGATTGAAGATAAGCAAATTCCCTAGTGGTCAGCTGCTTGAATTAACGGGGAGGATGCCCAGGTTCGAATCCAGCCTCGTGGCACGTTCATTTAAAAATTTTACATTGTACTTACTGTGACCGTCCGGTTCGATGTTGAACCGGATCCGGTTTCTCCCAAAACCCGCCCGGTTCCGACGGGTTTAGAGTGGTCCAACCGGTTCCCTTGCATGTAAGTCCAATTGATCAGCTCGGACCGGACCACATTCCGGTCCGGCGGTTTTCGGTCCGAACCGGCCGGCCCGGTCCGGTTTTAATAACTATGCTTTCTACCATGGGAATACACCAATGTTCTACTAACACCAACAGTTTCAACAGTCGAATCGGTGTGCTTTTATTGCAGAAAACAAAATGCTCGAACCAAGTGACATCAGAAATTTTAGAATGCTTCATGTGCTTGAAGGATTGAAAAGATGCAAAGATCATAGGCTAGAGAGCTTTTTATCATAAAAAACAATTTCAACCAACTTGAGATATGATAGACCCCCACCTCTAATAATATTCCAATACAAGTTTGTTATTCATTCACTATTCTAGAGTATTCCATAGTTAGTTAGCAAAAGGGTAAAATTGTAATAAAAAACTAGTAAATTCTCTACATATGTAATGGGGGTAGCTCGGATATTCATTCAATATTGGGAAAATTTGGGGAGCGACCAGACCTCTCGAAAGACTTGGAATTGTTTTGTGTCAATTTGCACGTTTAATGCAATAAAATAGCAGTTTGATTTACAGTTCTCATTCTTTCGGTAAACAATTCGGCCTCTTCAATTCAGGTTCCTATCAATTTGGTATCAAAGCAATTGATTATCGGACAAATGGAAGCTAATTTTAGCAGAGAATTAAAAGAGAGATGGAGCTCGCTATCAAATCGGTTTGGGAAGCTGGTAATGCAACGGAACGGGGGTCGAGTGGGTGAGTCGGGGCTGGATTCATACGGCCGGCTAAGTATATCAATATTACATGGAGAAAATACAGATTGGTGGGCGTCGGAGGCGGAGAAGATTTTTTCTAAAAATCGATTGTCAGAAGTGGAGAAAGTAGAGGCCGCCGTAGCTTTTTTTTACATTGAAACATGGAATTGGTAATAGCAGTTAGATCAACTAAGATTGGTGCGTACATGGTATAAATTGAAGGGGTTGATGAAGGCTCAATTTCACAGGAAGCAAATCTCTATTGTTGAGGAAAGTCCAGTATGTAAGCTTTGGGGGATGGTGAACTAGATGATAGAGGTGAAAGAACGCCCATATAAATTGCAGGTAACTCCAGCACCATTGCCATAGGAGGAGAAATCCACAGTGGCGAAGCATGGGGAGAGGAAGGAAAACGGGGCAGAAGCAACTTCGTCCGAAACCACCGCCAACTCTGAAATTTCAATCAAAATGGAGAGGAAGGAAAACGGGGTTGCGGAGATTTCACATGAACCGATTGCTACTTCTGATATTACACCCAACTTAGATGACGGCGGAGTGAGTACCGAAGGAAAGAAGGGTAAAAAGGAGAACTGCCGCTTGGACAATTGCAACCCGAGATTAATTGGAGAAGGTACCAAAAGAAGGAAAGGCAGAGAGGAAGGGTATGGCTGGAAAAGTAGACACCTGATATTAACTGAAATGGTATCACCAGATTTGGACCAAATTTTGGGGTTGGCCAAAGGACTGAGGGTAGGTATGACTCATGGAAAGAGGCTCATTCCACTTACGACCCACTTAAGGCCAAAACTAATTCATATAGCCCAAACCTACAATCTCATTGCCTTTTAAAACACACATCCAACCCATACCGCCAGAACTTTCCTCGGACCCTCGCGATCCATCAAAAGGCAACCACTCTCTCCTTAATCCTTTCGGTGACGGCAACCCAAGGTGCGACACCCTTCAAAAAGTCGATAGAAGTAGAATTACAGATGCAAAGAAAATTGTAGATCTTAAATGGTTCAGGAGCGTGATGGGGATGATCAATTAGACGGGTCAGAAGAGGAAGAAGATCACAAATTGGGAGGGTTGGTTGACGTGTCACTTAACACCGCAATGGGTCTCATCGCTCAAAAAACCATGAAAAATAGGGGACCCGTTTTTGGACAATCAGTAATAGTCGGGATTGATTGCCCAGCTACACCTAACTTCATTTCAACGAAATGGGTTGGTCAATTGGAGCTACAGACCGCAGACACAACGAGCTACGAGGTTCCTATCACTTTGGTTCATTTTTTGAAAAGCCCGCAAGGGATGCAACCGGGCGGATTCCCCAGTGTCTGCGTATGCGTCTTATGGAATTTGCATGAATAACATTTTAATGGTAGGTGGACAAATGGCTACACAGGCTAACAACTACAGCAAGCTTACTCCAAAAATAGTTCAGCTACATGGAAATCCAAATTTTGAAGTTGAACCACGATTCCACCTTGAGAACAAGGTGGTTTTTTGGGGTGGTTGGTAATGATAGACCCCCACCTCTAATAATATTCCAATACAAGTTTGTTATTCATTCACTATTCTAGAGTATTCCATAGTTAGTTAGCAAAAGGATAAAATTGTAATAGAAAACTAGTAAATTCTCTATAAATGTAATGGGGGGAGTTGGGATATTCATTCAGGAGATATTGGGAAAATTTGGGGAGAGGCCATGCCTCTCGAAAGCCTTGGAATTGTTCTGTGTCTATTTTCACGTTTAATGCAATAAAATAGCAATTTGATTTACAGTTCTCATTCTTTCAGTAAACAATTCAGCCTCTTCAAATCAAGTTCCTATCAAGATATAAGATAATGAATCACTAATGAAACTTATGGGAATTGTGAAGTTGTACTTTGTGAAATGATAGATAGTTTTAGTATGTGTCAATCTAAGATTATTTTAATTTATCTAGCCACGCCACATGCTGACTGCCAAATGGTGTTGTGAGGGTGCATCCTGATTATACGCCCCACTCCTAACACTAAGCTACAATAATCAAACAAAAGAAAAGACTTCTTTGGAAGAAACAAAGAATGGAGAATTCCAGTCTTACTTGAGGGGTATAGCAGGCTTCCCATTTAAGATTATTGTATTTCTTAGTTGGGTTCCTGTATAACTAGAAGTGAATGAGGCCTAAACCCCAATAACAAATGACATATGGCATCCAGATGGACATATGGCCCTTGTTTGGTAGGAATAAAAATCAGATTTTTAACATATTTTGATAAAAGTTAATAAAATATGTGGTTGAAAAGTTAAGATTTCCATAAAATGCATGATTAAAATTAATTGTTGACTTTGAATTAGATTAATATCTAAATTTTAATTTCCACCAGAAAGGATATCAATATAATAAGCTGTTGGAGGCATAAAACATGGATTCAGCAAACGGACTGAAACTCCTGTGCTGGAGAATATAGCCTTATCATAAATGCTGCTTTAATTAAAATTTAATTGATTATCATGAATCAAAAATTCGAAATGTTGACATAAACATATATTACAAGTATATAGTAATTGAAAGAGAGCAATTCAATATGCTTTCCATGTTCTCTTTTGTTTAGCTTGAAACAATTTTTTCATCAAAGTTTTACTAACAGTGTATCACGTAATTGGCGCATGACCATTACCTAAAAATTGCCATACAGATTTCCTTACGAATTCTGTGAAGCTTTCCAAGTATCCTAATATGGTATAGAGATACGAAAACAAAATAAAATTTACGATTGTAATATTCAGTCAGCACAACTAGAAACAGATCATGATAGATAGTGATAGCCAAACAGAAAATATAAAATATGTAATCAAACCTGTATAAGCAAAGGCCGTGCTTCTTCAATAACGGAGGAAACTCGTTCAGCCAATGAATAAGTGTTTGCAACGCCAATTTCTTCCATTTCACGCCCAATGCGAGTAAATATTCCAACTAATTCATCTAAACTAACCCCTTGGTATCCCTTTATCTTCTGTTTGTCACACACAATCAAACCTTCTTTAACACAATCTGCATGAAGAGGACTCACTGAAGGTGTTGGAATAGGATTACGCGGTGTGATATCAATCATAGTTTCCATCAGAAGACCTGACTGGTTCACCTCAATCAATGAATTTTGAGGTATTATAATTTTATCATCTTCAACCTACAAACATGAAACACCAACATCAAGGGCTGTAAAACCATATTGTCATGAAAAGATGAAATCATGAGCTTCAGGTTTGCCTCACCTCAACTACAGCCTCAATACTCTTCAGGGAAGGATTGACACGTATGACATTGCCAACAGTTACACCTCTAATCCTAACAGGTGTACCAGTGCACATACCACTAGCCTTATCAAACTCAAACACAGCCAAATACTTTCGGACCTTTGATCGCAACTGAAACGCCCTCAACCATGCTAAGCTAAGTGCCAAGAGGACTGTCCCTGAAATAAGAAACAATCCAACACCACCTTCCCAAATGCTCCTCCTACCGAACCCAAAATCGCTCAAAGGCCTCAGAGTTTGCCTCCAAATGGTTCGAGGAACATCAAAAATTACTGAGAGTGGACTCTTTGATTCGGAAGAAGATGTTGGTTGTGGTTGAGTATGACCCCTATCAGCGGATGACGTAGCTTTTACACATAAGACTTTTCTTTTATGCCTTAACGGAGTTTCCAGGCATGGCGAAATTTTCAAAGAACAATGTTGCTTAGTGGGTGTGATCAAATATGAAGGAAATGCAATAGCACTTGATGAAATATGGGACAGCGAATATCCAACCATTTTCTTTTTACAGCAATATTGGAAAGTTGTGCATAAACGACAATTGTCAACTCTGACCGGATTCCCAAGAAAGATATATAGGGAATTATGCCATGGATCCCTAGAACCTGAGGAACTAAGCAATCAATCAATTTCTCAAAATCTGAGATAGACATATACTAGGTTGAAACAATAACAATCAAAGAACTAGAGGAAGAAATGATCAATTTTACTTAGAGAAAACACATATATCAAATGAAATTTTTAGTATAATACCATTTACTTTCGTTAAAAGGAAAACCTACTTGTGAGCTCCGAAAGAGGCAGAGAAGAGGAGAGTCAATGAATGCCTGAGTTGAGTTGGGATAGTCACCTCATTGGACCTTTCGTCAGCCCTAAACTCAAATTTAGCTCAGTTTTCATTTTCTATTATTGACACTTGACAGTATAGTCTTATGGCCTTGATAAAAACCGTGTTCTCGAATCTTGGCTTGTCTTTTTCTTATGCCATTGTTTTGTTAAATAAAATTTAGAGTGAGTCAAGGTGATGAAGCTCATAACAAAGCATTAAATAAAAGTTTTGCAAATCTCTGGAATATAAATATCCAACTGTTTTTACAATTATTTATGAAATTGATACTTGATTGACTAAATTAAGTATATGATCAAATTACAGTGAAATTTGATTGTGATGATATAATTATTATATTCCACATTAGAATTAAACATAAATCATGGCGAGTATTGAGCACAACTTGAGTAAATGTCAAGCAAATGGAGCACCCCATTCGGGGGTAAAGGTTGCAGTGCCTCGACTAGATGGAGCAGTTGTCTGAAAAGAGCAAATGCTGCTAACCTTTTTACAAAGTATTGCCAGGAATCAGGTATCGCATGAATTTCATTTAAACTAAGGGTGTATTTGATTGCAAGCATGAAATTCACATGCAAACAAAATAAATTCTAGAAATTATTAGCATAGAAATTGTCAATTAAATGTATTTAATTGATTTTATTTTCAACCTAAACAAATGTTATACTTGTCCATTTTTTATTGGTAGGTAGATGGGAGAGGGGGTAGATGAGAGAGAAAGAATGAGTCAATTGCCTGAAAAATAAAAACATACTTCTCTAAGGAAAATATATTCCTTTTTTTAAAGAAAAATATGGCCAAGTGACCAAAAATAGGAAAATACCTTCCATGGAAAAAGCTATTAATCAAACAGCACAAAAGTAGAAATTTGGGTGAAAAATGACATTTTTCACGGAAAATATTGGCAATCAAATGCTAACAGTTATTTCACCCTAAGAGTTGAGATCCTGAAATAAGTAGAAGTACTACAGGAGAAAGAAAACAAGATAGCAACATCGAAATAAAAAGCTTATGAATCAAACCAATACATGCTTATAGATCCAGATCTATGGAAGAATGGAGAATGAATAAAATATAGCATTTTTTTATTTTTCATGAGAAAAATGCATGCACAATACTTCAAAATAGTAACTGCATAAGTTACAAAGATCACAACTAGTAGGTTTATAAAAGTGTTAGCTGTAACAGCTCAATAGGCTAGTTCTAAAAAAGTCATAATGCCTCCAACTAAATACTTCCGAGTATAAAACTTATAATCCCATGGACTGACAAATGAGAAAGAGAGAAAATGATAATCTTGCATTCTTAAACCAAGGGTATGCTAAATTTTCATACGTCATAAGAATGACCAAAGTAAAAAAATTTACATGCTTTGCTACAAACAAAAAATGTAACAATGTAAACAGGACACAAGAAATGAGAGGTTGAGAAAGCCAATTGCAAAATTAAAATAAATCATTAAGTGAAGTATAATTTGAATGAAACCTGGTCTATCGATACTCATATACTTTATTATGAAGCGGCATTGACTCACAGTCTTAATTGTATTTTCCATTGAAAAGCCGCAAATATACAAATGAACATGTCTTCATCAAAATGGGAGAACCAAAAAACCAAATTGGGGAAGACCTTACAGAAGTGACACCCATCAGAAGAAAACTGGTGGACTAATCCTAACTATGACTTATGAATGCCAAAATTTATATATTTATTACTAGCTTATTTCAACAATTTAATCTATATCAACCTTATTAACCGGTCAACTTAGAATCTGTATAGTAAAATCATATTATTTCGGAATTTGCAAAGTATTGAACTGAAAAATAATGAATCCTTAAAAAATTGCATCCAACTGGAGCATTAGGGGCTGGGTAAATCACGATAACTTAGAAAATTCATTCAATAATAGAAAAAAATAATATTATAAAAATTCAATTACAAACTCACCTATTTGGAAGATATTCTAAATAGGCAGCATTGTCTTGTGAGCTAAATCCAAAGAAACTGAAAAGCTACTTCCGCCACCGTAGCGAAGGAATGTTTCAATAATTATACGGCTCAAATAGATGGCATGAGTATGTGTGGAATGATGCGCGAAATGAACCCTCGGCTAGGGTTGACGTGAGTGGAACGGAAGAATAAAGATTGGGAAATTTGGGGGTTTTAGAAGGTGAAGTCTGGTTAATGGGCCAGACCTTGTGGCATTGGGCTAAACTATCACATGGGCCAAACCTGACCATTCTCCTCTAACGGATGTATGAAAGTCTGTTGGGAAAATTTCACATATAATAGATTAAGTATAGCCAATTTCAAAATTAAGAAATAAAATTTTAAATTTCAAAAATCAGATATTAATTAAATTTTATTTATGAAATATTTAATTAAAAAATATTTTTATTAACTAAATAAATTAAGGTCACAGTTCTGTACTATTTAATCACAAATTGTTGAATTAATTGGTCACGATTATTTTTCGATTACAAACCAAAAATTTTATTGGTCACAATTAATTCATGAATCACAAATCAAAAAAATTTATAAATCATAATTTATTTATTGATCACAAAACACAAATCTTGTAAGTCACGAATCAAATTTTTAGATCACATATTATGTATTGGTCATAAATTGTCGGTCACAAATTATTTACTAATCATAATCAACCAATTAATTGATCACAAACATCCCCATTCCACCCATAACCACCGCACCACCGTCACGCCGACCACCACCAGCACGACCAAAATCACCATGCCTCACCATCGCAATCCACATCACAACCATCATTACCCAAACACCACAAAAAATTAGATCCAAAATAAATTAGTCACCTCCACGGACATCCCAATCACCGCCACCGTCAATTATCCTTATAGAACCACCACCAATTACCCAAAAAATTTCCACACCCATTACTCCAAATTTTTCCCTCATTTTCCACCACTAGCAACAGAGTTCACACCTACCACCATCAACTCCCAAAAATTAGACATTCATCAATCATAAAATTAGATTTGGTTGATGATGACAGAGTGACAACAAATTGTTGTAGTCATAAAATTGACATCGCCAACGCCCCAAAACTAGATCACCCAAAAATCGGGGGTGATCGTTGCTCGACTGCATCATCGTTGTTGCAGCAACGATGCCAGCAACGCATCATCGGCGCTGCAACGACAGCGTTAAGCGATATCTTCGCTTTGCTCACAATGGTGACAACATCCTCGCCGTGGCTGCAACGACAACTTTGGCCAGATGCATCATCACCGCGATTGTTGGTGGATAATGGATGGAGAGAGAGACCTGAAGGTAGTTAACAAATTGATTTCGATGTGAGGATAGTAGGGTGACGGCGCACTGCAGTAGCGAAGTTGTGCTTCACATAGCTGCGCTGCAACGATGCGGTGCTCACATCAACGAGGTTGTTGCAGCGACGTCTTGACGGCTCCAACAGTCCGATAGTAGAGACTATGGAAAGGAGAGGGGAGAGAATAATTTTAGGGTTAGATTGGGGTAGGTTGTGGGTAAATAAATTAATTTATAATATTATTATTAATATTAAAATATTGATTTTTTATCTTTGAATTAATATCTGATTTCTGTATAAATAAACATTAAATCTCATATTTGAAATTGAATCTTATAAAATCTGGTTTGGTGTAATTTCCTCAAGTCTATTTGACGCCTTTCTTCCTTCCAATTTAATTTTTGTATTAATACGCATTAATGGCCAGTAGAAAGAGCAACTGACTTACCTAACACAAATTTGAAAAATCCACTCATTTACCACAGAATACCGTGTTTGCTCTCACTATGTCTTTAAATTTACTTATTTTCCCTTCAATCTTTCTCCCCAATTTCGATTGTAATCAAGCATTTATCTAAGGGAAAAATTGGAAAGATGTATACCAGAAAATTAATAAACAACTCTTTCTTGTCAACATCAATACATCATACTGCGGATGTGAGCCCATTACGCTATTGTAAAAAGTAAATTTGGTAAAATAAAGGGTGTCCAACAAACGTATAACTTGAAAAGAATATAAATTTATAAACCAAAAGCTACATCTTTGATCTTCATTTTAAAAAAATTATGTAATTTCTACCTCAATAGTCTCCTTTGGCTTGAAAGATAATTCAATATATAAATTTCCACAAGCCCTGTTTAATTGTTGATTGAAGGCATACATATATAGACTCAAAGAATTAGATCAAAAATCATGTTCTAATTGCTTTTCAAGAAGAAGTGGATTTAAAATAGGAAACCATGTAATCGCACTGCCTAGTGGGTTGCAACTTGCAACACATGACACAACCCATTTGCATTCTGTTGAGGTGTGATTACACGATAATTTCCTATGATCGCAACACCCAATATTTTGCCTCCCATTAATTTTAGTCCCCGACTTCCTCCTTTTGTTCTGCTCGAGTTCTTTGTAGATGCAATTTTGGTTATTGATATTCTAATCTTCAAAATACAATCATCACCATTCCAAAATCGTTAATAATGGATCCTAAACATGTTTTGAAAGTTTATAATTTAGTCCTCAATTTTTCTAATGGTTGAATTTACATCCCAAAACTAATGAATTTCTCTTAAATGCTCTATTAATTCTTCTGATTGATTAAGCGCAATCTAGATGATCTTAAATTTACTCCAAATCAATCCCTATTAAGCTCCAAAATGTATTTTCACTTCATTTACATCCAAGTTGGAGTTTTACCTACAATTAATAATATTTACATTGAATTAAGTAGACTTCTGCTCATTATCAAAAAAATAATTAAGAATAGAAGCTCAAATAAAAGCATTATACGTACTTATCAATTGAAAATTGGACCAAAATCATTGAGTTCTCAAGTACGAGGACCCCAGCAGAATTCTTGAAGGAATAAAGAATTTTCACAATTGCTAGCGCTGCGGGCTCTGATGTTTTTTAAAACCACGAAGCTGAAAGCCATAAATAAAGTATGCAAGACTTTGTATTGAGCTCGACTTGAGAAAGGACATGATAAGAGAAGTATGCAATACCAAGCGAGGGGTGAAATGGCAAAAAAAACTGTAAAAAAATACCCGAATTTTATGCAAGAGCAGCGGCTCCATGGATAACCCGCCTATGGATTGTCCCTTAAAGGTTAAAAAGAACAAAGGATTCCAAAACTGTTGAGCCTGAGATGGAACTAATTCAGACGGATTCCCCTGTTCCTAATGGTTGAATTTACATCCCAAAACTAATGAATTTCTCTTAAATGCTCTATTAATTCTTCTAATTGATTAAGCGCAATCTAGATGATCTTAAATTTACTCCAAATCAATCCCTATTAAGCTCCAAAATGTATTTTCACTTCATTTACATCCAAGTTGGAGTTTTACCTACAATTAATAATATTTACATTGAATTAAGTAGACTTCTGCCCATTATCAAAAAAATAATTAAGAATAAAAGCTCAAATAAAAGCATTATACGTACTTATCAATCGAAAATTGGACCAAAATCATTGAGTTCTCAAGTACGAGGACCATATGCAATGAAGTTTTAATTGTAACTAAACTCAACCACATAATTCGACTCCCTTCGTGGTTTACATATGGTTCTAAGTAAAACTACTCACTCCAAAGTCTAAATTCTTGGCTTTTTGGTGGTTTAGCTAATAATTGATTTTTTTAATAGATTTTCAAAAAAAGATTTGAAATATGTGGTTGTAAAGTTGATAAAAATTGTGAGTCACATGAAATGTGTGCTAGAGAATGAGTTTAAAAAAAAAAAAATTGATTTTGAAAAGTAGAGGCCAAACAAAAATTTAATATGTAATAGAAAGATGCAAATGGGTCGATTTCTGGACAATACTATATTTATATGATGATAACTTTTTTTTCTTTAGTAGTGTTGCTTACAACAATATACTTAAATAATTTATATCATCAATGTCTTCTTTGCTGCATGAATTTTTAATACAATCAAATTAGACTCATTCAACTCGCCTTCGTGCTATATATTTCCTAATGAATTAAGGGTGTGTTTGATAGGGCCAATTCCATTTTCCATCCAAATTGTAGTGTTTGATAGCACATTTTTTCCATGGAATTCATTTTTTTAATTGTCTTGAAAATTGTTCTTTTCTTGGTTTTCCACCCTACTTTGACGCTTTTTTTTTAATGCAAATAAATTCTAAGAATTATTGTAAAAAAATATTTCCCTTAAATTGACAATTTCCATGTAAAACAAAGACTAACAAACAACAAAAGGTAGATGATTTCTTGACTTTTTATTTTTTGCGTTGGCAATGGAAACAAATTTCATACCCAATGCCAGTAAATTTTATCCCTTTAATTGACAATTTTCATGTAAAACAAAGCCAAACGAATATCAAAAACACTTTTATTTCAACATTTTCCTCGTAAAAAATTATACCAATCAAACACAATAATTTACAATTCTCAAGAAAATAATTTCTAAGCAATTCAATTTTCTGGGATTCGTTTTCAATTCAATTCCATCTTTGCAATCAAACGGACCCTGACATGAGTTCACTAAATAAAAATATTCCTGTTTGGATAGAATTTTGTATTTGCATGTGAGCAAAAGTAGCCTTCACTGATAGTAGGACATAGAAGAATAAAAATAAAAGAAAGATATCGATAATAAATACTTATGAAACTTAAAATAATGAGGGAAAGAGGGAGAAAGGGAAAACTTGAGAAACTTATACACGTGTGGCTTAAACATTACACGTAGTACTGCTGGAGAGCACTTGTCTAGCAATATCAAGCAATTTATCTACTGGTACAAAGTAAGTTGACAAAATTTGTTGACAAAATCTAAATCGTTGATTTATTTTGATTTCAAAATCTGATTTTGGAATGTGTGATATAGATCTTGCCAACTCATGTTTTGTCAACCTCCTTTATCAAATTCCTTTGTACTCATAAGCATATCACTCCTTGTATAGAGACACAAACATGTCCCTTTTTCATCTCATTTTATCAACTTCTCTTTCCGAAAGAAAACTTACACCAATTGATTGGAAACAATGAGGTAGGAAAAGTGACAAAATAAGATCGCAAAATATAGCAACAAGATAGCAAGAAACAAAAATCCTAACAAGAACGAATTCGAAGGATTGAACACAA